GGATTTCTTCCTTCTCCCATACAGTCCTAGTAGCATCATAAAACAGAAGCTGTGTTTCTTGGTCCTGCAGTATGAGACTCCCACTTTATTCACTGCTTGGCTATATGTTATTTTTATGTTGTTTGCAAAGTCAAACGTTTTGGTTCTATTTTTTTATCATACAGATAAGATTGGCAGGAAAGACATTAATTTTATTTGGTGGTTATATGTGAGATTTTGTACAGATGTGCCAGAAAGAAAACTCTGCAATTAAATACTTTTATCACCATGTTACAAAATACAGTTTCAGGCTGGTTTTAAGGTTTTGCTGACTTGTCTTCTTTCCTTGGTTTTTCAGTAAACTGTTGAATAGTTAATGAGCAGTATCTTCTACTCAAGAATGTGTGGCAGCCAGCATCCTTTAAGTTTTATTTGCAGCTGTGATGTAAAGCATGCTTCTTTACTTACATGAGAATTTAGAGGTCTATAGCTTTTGCTTCCTCTGCAAAGTATTTTATTGACTGCATTGACAGCAAATATACACAAAATCAATACTTTGAATGTTAGGCATTGTTTAGGTGAAGGACAAGCAGCTTAATTGCTGCATCTTGGTCCACAGCATTGCAAGTAGACTAAACATCCTTTCCTTGGCTTTATATTCCCTTTAGTTCACCCTCCACATATCTCTCTTCTGCCTGAGGTAATACACCCGTTGGTCTTCTGTCTGCTATTTCCAGTTCTATCTTCCCTCTCACCAAAGTAGTTGCATTGTTAAGAGACAAGAGGACTTAGCTTTATGCCAAACTTTCTCTTTTACTGTTTGACTCCTAATGCTGCCTGCTTTCCCACTGGCTCTCCTTTCTGAAGCATTCACAAGCTGGTTTATTAGTGAGAAGCAAAAGATCAGTAGGGCTGCAACATGCTTGATGCCAGCAGCTAAAATAGGAGGCAGAGTAATAGGAGTTGTGACCAGCTGCCCAAGGAGCCATCAGTCCTGCAGGACAGGATATTCGTGGCTTCTGAGTAGTGTGATATGAAAGACTAAACATGGATGACCGTGAGAATGTGCTTTATTCTGCTGTTGATTGCCAAACAGAAGAAGGCTTTCAGTATAATTCCTCTCACTCTGTGATTGAAAGAACAGAGGGTAGAATTTGCACGATGAGGTTGTGTAGACCACATGAGTGGGTGGGGGGAGCCTGAGAGTTTCTTGTGTTCTTAAACACTTAAAAGATGACAAAAAGTAGTAACTTGAAGGTCTAGTAATGGAAATTTTAAAAGGTTGCTTTGTTATCTGGAGACTAACAAAAGTACAGTCTGATCACAGCTGTGAGGTTTGGCAGGCCTTGATGCAAAATGGCCATGTAGTTGGCACAGGCACAGAAAACTTGTTTAGAAATTATGAGTTTTAATTGAGGAAGAGGAAAAGCAAGAAGATGGGAAGAGGAGAGAATGGAAGTAATCTGTAAGAGTGTTGTGTGCAAATTCTGGAGAAAATTAGTGATAAGCAAATGGCAGTGGAAGATAGAAAGTCTGAAATGGTATGGGATTCAACTGGTCTGTAGCTTTTACCTGCCTGGAGGAAGGAAAATTGTCTGAGATCAGTGATGTTTAAGGAAAGAAAGCTACCTGGGTAGCCATTGCTTCTTCTTTTTATCACGACATTCACTAAATATGTTAACAGAAATTATCTGCTGTGCATGATAAGACTTTGTCCTTTCTCTGGTTTTGTTTGTTTATTTTGCTTGTTTTACTCCTTCCCTCTTTCCTTCTTTTTTAGGTGGATTCTCTGATTCTCCACCAGGAGGGGCACAAAGACAATCTTGCATTTACTGCTTCCAACAACCAGTTCAGGGAGTTGAGACAGCATGTTTTAGTGCGGGCAGCAAAACAAGTGGAAGTTTAGACTGAGTATAAAACCACTTTATCAGAAAAACAGGAGACTCCAAAACATTTGGGTGCATTACAGTACCAGGAGCCTTCAGTATGACCAAGCATGTGCAGATCCTGCAACAACAAAAACATCATCTCCTTTACCCTGACTGTGAATAGCTGAACAGACTAAGTTTCTGTCATAGTCAAATTTCTTTCCCTTCCACCCTCACCAATGGATGTTCCTGTGATAAACAGTCCATTCCTTAATTCCATTGTACTTGCAATAAGAATTTAGAACTGGTTCAAATGAAAAAAAAACTACAAAGAAGTCATCCTAAAAAAAGTGGATTGAAATTCTAGGCCTGAGTAGGGGGGCTATAGCACCAAACCTACATTGCCAGTGGCTTAACTGAATGACAACAGTCTCGTGCTGTGCTGAAACTTCCATGACCCTCACTGAGCAACACAGGGTTCTGAAACAAAGACACCATCAAGGAGTTTGGGATCTCCTGAAAGAAAACCTGTAATTCAGCCCTGAATAATAGTAGCATTCAAATTTCTGACAAGGAAGAGAGCTAAGAGACCCCTGATTTATGAGATAAATATTTTTACATCTCTGGATGTTATGAAATTCATGCTGAAACCCACACTGAAATCCTTCTCTGTGTAACTCATCCTCACCAAAAGTGCTGTGTGAAATTGAACTGACCACAGAAGAGACTATGGAACATGCCAATTGTACTAAATACCCTTATCATATCTTTTTCAAATAAAAATAATGTGTCAACACAAGTCTGAAACAGCTGGCTTACAGACAGAAGTGAGTATTCTCTCATGTGAAATGCTCCTTACACTCATGACTGGAAGGTGACAAATGTAACTAATTTTTAAATAAATTTGACAAATTGAGAAAAAAAGGGGCATGTTTTCTACATTTCATATTGTCTTTTTTCCTGACAGGATAATAGTCAGGGAATTAGAACAAATTTTTTTTTCCCCACCCTAAAAAAAAAAAAAAAAAAAAAAAAAAAAAAAAAAAGAAAAAAAAAAAAAAAAAGAAAAAAAAAGTGCAGTATTTAAAAGAAATTTAGAACTTTTTTAAATTGACAATGTAATTTTTTTCCTGAAAAATGTATTAGCATTTACTGGATCAGTTCTATAACATTGCTAGTAATAACTTTTTCCACATCTTGTAATTTCAGTGTCACACAAAAAGTAAAAAAACATGACTAAAAGATTAATCATGACATTTGTTCAGAGTGAAGCCCATGTTACATGTGTTCATTCCCATTAAGAAGAAAGTAAGCCTGTCACAGCACTGAGCTGATGATTAGGTGAATAGATTACCAGCCATGTTATGCTCAGAGTGCTTCAGCAAGACATTTTGATGCTTTTATTTTTACAAATTCATCGGGAAGACCAACTCAACAAACTCACTGCCAGGATTAGGTGATGAGGTCTCTCCCTCCAACAGCCCACACTTAACCACTGGTGTGCAGCAGGATGCTGTGTGTCATATTTTCCTCTTAAAATTCTTTCACTTTGTATTAAGTGAATTATTAAGTGAATACATACTTAAATAATACTTAAATATTTATTGAATAAATACATAAGTATTTATTGATCGAACAAAGAATCTGAAATCTAAGCTATAAATTTGAATTTTTTATACAGTAGCAAAAAATTAGTCATTAATCCCTTTGTGATGCCTTACTGCACAGTGCACTAGAGAGGTTTGTCAGGATTCAGATCTTGTCTCAAAACAGGAACATGGGATTTGAATATAGATATTATTCTGAAAGGTTTTACCTGTAACATTGCTGTAGACCCCCTCCTCTGCCTGCTGTACCATGTAAAACCCAGAGGAGAACGGTGTTCTGACTGAAAAGAGGTTTTTCTTCCCAGCCCTTTTACTTGGATCTTAGGATAGTTTTTACAGCATATCTAGTTAGGAACTTCATCAGCTACTACACACACTAGTTCCCCTCTTCATCTGCATTATGTTTTTGAAATCCCATTCTCAATATCACCTCTGATGTTTTTCTTGTCCAGATAAAGAGCCCATGCACTTGTGAGTCAACACTTTCAAAGCAGCATTTCACAGTCTCCAGTTTAACAACAGACATGTATATATCTCTGGTACATTAGTTCCAGTCCCTTTTCCATGAATATCTGCAAATGCAAAAATAAAGATCTGTGAAAAATAATCTTCTAAGGTTCACTGTAAACACCCCCTCACTCCACCAGATGGTACCCTTTCACTTAAATAAGAAATAATATTTTCAGTAGCACAGGTCTTGTCTTGCTTGATATGAGCACTGGCTTCTGGGGCCACACTTCAAAGCTATAAATGGCAAATTATGAATAGTGTGATGGCTCCCATGGTGCTTCCAAAATACCATGGTGGGACAGCAATCAGTCTTCTTAATACAGGTTAAAAGTTTGTGTCAGAATCAGTGGTGTCACTCTGGATCCTGAAAGATATATATAGAAATATATATTAAAAATATGATTAGTACAGGTACTGCTGGCCAAGAAATTGTTAGATATTTACTTCAGGAATAACCCAGTTTTCCTTCATTTTTGCTTTGTGCTAAGGCTGCAACAGGCTCCCATATAAAGCTCTTCCCAAAATAATATCATTCATGCTTGTTCTAACAGGTGGAGAAAGAAGAAAAAAAATTAAGGTCTGAGCATAGATATTGTATTTTTCCTGAAAAAAAAGATCCCTGAGTTACCAATACAAAATGAAACCACATTATTTGGTTGCACTAAATATTTTCTGGTTTATTCTGCAAAACAAAATATCAAAAGGTAAAAAAAAACCATGCAAGGTAAATAAAACCACACTAAATATTTTCTGGTTTATTCTGCAAAACAAAATATCAAAAGGTAAAAAAAACATGCAAGGTAAATAAAAACACAGTTGCCATTGGTAGACTATGAAAAGCTTCCAGATGAGTCAGTTTGAAATTTCCTGTGTGCTTTCAACATGAGCACTTCAAATAAAATGTTTGCTTGAAACCTTGCAGGAAGGAGCTTGTTTTTCAGCGTAGATGTAGCTGTTACAAAATATCCGCTATTGGTTTAGGGGAAGCAGGTGAAACACATCTATAGATAAGTCATATGGGGTAGGCCCACTGACTCCCAAGGCAGAAGTGAGGATGTGGACAGCTCTGTGTGTGGCAATGTACTTCTTTGGAACAAGTAAGGAATCAGTGGAGCCATAATATCTGCTCTGCTGCTGGGAAAATGTGCCTTACTTGTTTTGCTGTGTTTTCATTTTGTTCTGTTTTACAGGAGCTGAAATCACCCAAACCCCAAGCCTTGTGGTGAGAGAAGATGAGAATGCTACCCTGAAATGCAGTCAAAATGACAATCACAATTCCATGTACTGGTATCTGCAGCAGCCAGGGAAGGCGATGCAATTGATTTATTATTCCTATGGCTTAACTCTAAAGCAAGAGGGTGACATTTCGGCTGGATTCCAAGCTAACCGGCCAAACCTTGCAGAATTCTATTTGGATATTTTGTCTGTGAAGTCAAACTACTCAGCCCTCTACTTCTGTGCCAGTAGTTTGGACACAACACTTCAAAGTCACTTGCTTTCTTTACATAAACCTCTCCCCTTTCAGCACCTTCCGTCCGAAGGGAGCCGCTCTCAGCACAGGAAAAGGGGGTGTAGGGCAATCACCTACTCACAAACCAGATGTTACTGAGAAGGTGGAAGAAGAGCAGGTAGAAATAAGACCTAGGCAAAATAGGTACTTGAAGTGCAGGCTAATTGCTGAACTCTTTCCTGATCAGGAAAGAGGAGTTCAGCAGTTTATCCATTTATCCTTCACCTTATCAGAACAATCAATAAAGATTGTTAATCAAATGTAGATGTAAAATAAAGGAAATGTAAATTGTAGTTGATACAGCCACAAGTTATTGTCCACTAAGACATCTTCATACCTGACACAGAACAGTTGCTTGACACACACAAGTCTGAAATACTTTAGAGATAGTGACTTCTGTGTGCACTCTCATTCCTTCCTGAACCACAATATTTTTCACTGTGCTTGGAAAGGCTACCTTAATCACAAGAAAACTATAGAATTATCATTTTCAGTGCTGATTAATAGGAGTCTGGACAAAAGATGATTCAGTAATAGAATCTATATAGAACTAATGTGCAACAGACTGGATTAAAATGACAAAAGAGGAGTCATTACCATGGCCTGCAAGTGCATAGACAAAATCCTGAAAAGCTGAATGTATATGGAGGGTATTGAGTGGAAAGACAGGTAGTCAAAGTAGCATGCAATTTGGAATGCATTCACATTCAAGAAAAAATAACATAGATTTCCATTTGTTCAGAAATTGTTCTGACTATGGAGTTTACTTCTGGCTGCATAGTGAATTCCATACAACTGTGTGTGCCACATCTGTCTCTTTATATCTCTCTCTCACAACTGAATAAGTAGCAATATTCAGTATTAATCTGGTTAATTCCTTCTCTCTGTGGTGAGTTCTGAGGGCTTTTTTAATCCAAGGCAACTTTGTGATGTTTCTCAAGGCCTTATAAATCTTTCTGACTGTGAGCTAAGTCCTGATAGGAACACTGCTTCGGAGAGCATCCATATTTTGAAGATGAAAAAATATAGAGGGATGAAAAAAACAGGATGTGAATGTAAATTTATATACTGCATAACCTCTCCCTGACAGGATATTTCTGGTTTGGCATGAAGACTCATTTATGCCACACAAAAAGACTTACCAGTGTCTTTCCATCACCACCATTCTTCCAGATAATGTAATCGATGCAGTGGGATTAGTCATGGCCTGAGATACTCTTTGGTGCAAGCCTTTCATGGTGATAATGTAACAAATTGTCTTAAATTGTTCTAAACCAAAAAAGCACTAAGCAAGGTTCTCGTGCTGTATAAAAGTCACCTGCATAATTTGCTAGTTCTGAAATAAAGAATAATAATAATAATTATTATATATAATATATATAATAATGTGTTTCCAGTTTTGGAAGGCTTTAAATAAAGGATGTAGAATGGGAGCATTCCATAATTAGACATAGCTTCCACACTGTGTTATTATTCTTATCCCAGTGTGAACTCTATCATATTGTAAACGTTGTAGGGCAAAATACTATTACCATACATACAGAATAACCATACTGATCTTCAAAGGAAACTTTCAATATGTGATTATTTTGCAGTGTTTCTTCATTGGGATGGGAATTATTGGACTACAGGCACAACCCTGGAGAAAAGGCAAAGGAACTTTTATGTGAATCCTTTAAATATCAGCTGACTGGCTAGGAGAACCACAAAAATGCTAGTTGCATTTTTGGTTGCATTATTTTTGGTTGCAAGGGTGCAATTAACATGCTGAAGCCCTCTAGAGAAGACGTCTGGAATACCACCTCTGTTGTCCACACACATTCCTGCCCTGCCCCAGTCCCAGTACAACAGAGATAGCAAAAACTGTAGAGTGCAGCAGAGGGTCAGTCACTAAGATAATCTACGGACTGCGGCAGAAATACAAGAGGGGTTACGGGAATTGATTTTGTTCATTATGGAGAGAAGGCTAAAAGATTAGTAATTGCATGCCTCCAAATGCCCAACCAGAATTGTAGTCTTAGAGAGACACAGTGGAATCAAGTGGGAACAAGCTGCAGCAAGATAAACCCTGATTAGATTAGATAATAAAAAGTACTTTCTCTTGATCATGCTTCCACACTGGAAGATGTTTCTTGGAGATTTTGTCAAATCGCTGTCCTTGAAGATATTCAGAAATCACCTGGACAAAGCTCTAAGCAACATGTGTTAGAGCACTGGAGTTAGCCCTGTTTTGAACAGGAATTTGTATTCAGACACTTGCAGAAGTCCCCTCCTCAATTTTTCTACAAGTCAATGATTTTTATTATCTTGATTTGCTGATTTGAGTTGCCTACAGTTTTTTAATTTGTAAAAGCAGGTCAGCAACTCCCCCAAAAACACAATTTTTTTTTTTTTTGTTTTTTTTTTTTTTTTTTGGTTTTTTTGTTTTTTTTTTGTTTTTTTGTATATTGCACAACAGAAAGAGCAGTTGCACATGCAGGACCCATCTGCCCACTTGAGTAACAAGAAGATTGTGTGATAACTTGACGCAAAAAAACCCAACAGTTTTCATGAGACCGTTCATGTGTCACTTTTTCTGCCCAGCTGTAAAATGGTGAACAGAAAGCCACATCCTGTGCATTGTCCTGACAAGCTGGGGTGGTGTTGTGGTATGAGAGGCTGATGCATTATCAAAATCGTTTTCTAAGTAAATGTCAAACCGCATCCTGTTTTGGTAAAATTTAACTGCTGTTCCCTTAAACAGATATTTTCCAGTGCATTTTGGCACATCACCTGCTCTCATTCTGAGGTACCATTTTCTGCTGAGGCCTTCAGCAACGGTTTCCTCTGCTGTTGACTTTATGTTAGAAAAAAACTCCCTTTAGGACCTCTGCTCTAAGCCTCCTACTTCTTCTGCCCAGCTAGTACATTCTCAGGCCTTCTGCTTCCAAAGCTTCACAAGTGCTCCTCTACCTTAGTCTGCGTTATTCGTACATCTATGCAAGAAATACTTACACATAAAATCCTCTGTACAAAACATTCTTGAAGAAGAGCTTGAAGGACAAAAACTTTCCTTTGATCATATTTAAAAAAAAAATTATATAATTATATAAGAACCCAGACATGTATCAGTCTCCCTTTTAAAGTGCTCTCTTTGCACAGTTACCAGTACAATAGCAGGAGTGTGTGGGAATGAGAATTGCATGGCTTGTAGCAAGCTTGGAAAAGAACAGGATTGGATTGCTGACCTTGGTCTCAACTTCCAGTGACTGAGAGGTATGAATTCAGTGTGGGAACACTCTTCTTATTCCAGAGTACAAAGTGAAGGTTCTGTCATTTGCCAAAATCTTTTCTTACATAGATCCACTTAGTTAGGTCTCTCCTTCACACCATAGCTTGTCTGCTCCAAAATTCCTATGCCCAAATTTGTCCTCTGTTCACTTTGACCACATTCTACCATGACTACTCTGAAAGTCTGTGTGTGCGTGAGGACAGGATTGATCTGGGGTTTTTTTCTGACAGCCCTGATAAATGCAGCCATTTACACCAAAAGCCTTAATAAATTATATTCATCTTAATGTCTTTCAGGATGAGCTGGAATTATTTTTTAATACTCCATTCTGCTGTTCTCCAGTCCATTCTAACTTCACAGAGCATGAATAATGGGGCATCCTGGGAAAAGAACCCATCATCAGAATGAAATGATGCCTCTGTTTATCCTTGTCACACCCCCTGAAATGTGCCCCTTTGTACCACCTTCTCACGATTCCCCCTTTGCTGAGAACTGTTCCTTTTCTTTCTTCTCCAAAGAGGAAGGGAACACCTTTCCCTAGACCAGGTAGTTCACATCTTGTGAATGTAAGACCCCTTGAAGCACTATTGTAAAAAGTATTTTTCAGGAAACAATTCTCTGTTTTGTTTGAATCAGCTATGAGACTACTGAAGTAATTTCTGTACTCCATACAAACAGAACACCAAATAAATCTCTTGGTTCAGTCGGACATTTTCTCCTCTTCTGAAGTGTTTGGAGGAGATTAAAAAAGTGACAAACACAGAGCAGGAAAAACAAGTGCACTTGACAGCATTGTACCCATCTGTCCTCTAGCACTAAGATGCAGCTTTCTTCTTTAATGACATGAATAGAGGTATGACAGATTCCTCTCAAGTCCATCATCAGATCATTTTGAAAGAAAAAACATTAAGGGTCAGGTGATTTTTAATCTACTCACCAATTTTTTTTTCACTACCACAGGGATTCTGGGTCTTCACCGAGATAATCCCACAAAAGAACCATGTGAGAGAAAAAGCAGCTCCCATGCCTCTCCCAAGTGGATGTCACTTCTCATCAGGCTGGAGTGCTGTTTCCTTCTCTGCCACCTTTGAATCATGGAGCTGTTCTGGCTCAAAATCAGCCGCAGGTGAGGGCAGGCCTCCAAAGCCTGCAGCCCTGCTCCGTTTGTTGGTACACAGTGTAAGAACTGGATGAGCCTCTGCTGTTCCCATAACTTATAAGTAATTTCCACAGGGATTTTCAGTGCATGAGCTTTAATGAGTGTTGCTTATGGCACTATTCGTCATTGAAAGTTGTGTGATAGCAGATTATTACTACAGAAGACCAAATTTAAAAATAACTACTCATGCTTTTCAAGGGAAAAGAAGTAATGCAGCTTTCTTCTTTAATGACATGAACAGAAGTATGACAGATTCCTTCCAAGTCTGCCATCAGATCATTTTGAAAGAAAAACATCAAGGGTCATGTGATTTTTAATCTATCCACCAAATTTTTTTTTTCACTACCATGGGGATTCTGGTGTCTTCACCGAGATAATCCCGCAAAAGAACCATGTGAGAGAAAAAGCAGCTCCCATGCCTCTCCCAAGTGGATGTCACTTCTCATCAGGCTGGAGTGCTGTTTCCTTCTCTGCCACCTTTGAATCATGGAGCTGTTCTGGCTCAAAATCAGCCCCAGGTGAGGGCAGGCCTCCAAAGCCTGCAGCCCTGCTCCGCTTGTTGGCACACAGTGTAAGAACTGGATGAGCCTCTGCTGTTCCCATAACTTATAAGTAATTTCTACAGGGGTTTACAGTAAATTATCATTAATATGTATTTGTCACGGCCCTATTACTCACTAAATGTTGTGTGGTAGGACATTATTACTACACAAGATGCAACTTAAAAACAACTGCTCATGCTTTTCAAGGGAAAAGAAGTAACAAAAGAACCATGTGAGAGAAAAAGCAGCTCCCATGCCTCTCCCAAGTGGATGTCACTTCTCATCAGGCTGGAGTGCTGTTTCCTTCTCTGCCACCTTTGAATCATGGAGCTGTTCTGGCTCAAAATCAGCCCCAGGTGAGGGCAGGCCTCCAAAGCCTGCAGCCCTGCTCCGCTTGTTGGCACACAGTGTAAGAACTGGATGAGCCTCTGCTGTTCCCATAACTTATAAGTAATTTCTACAGGGGTTTACAGTAAATTATCATTAATATGTATTTGTCACGGCCCTATTACTCACTAAATGTTGTGTGGTAGGACATTATTACTACACAAGATGCAACTTAAAAACAACTGCTCATGCTTTTCAAGGGAAAAGAAGTAAAAACTTTATTCCTAAATCAATCAGATAAGTTCCCAGCTGCTGAGCATTAAGAAGGTGGTATTTTAATGATACCTTACAACAAAATATGATAGATTATGATATGGAAGTACAGAGAAAGCTCACAAAAACGTGAATAACAGGACAGCAACTGATAATTACAAAAAAAATTATATTCAGATGTTCGTAGAAGCACAGATTTTTTTGCAATGGAGAGGTAGCAAACTTGTCATGTTCCTGCTGATGTGATGACAAGGGCTCTTCATTTATTCTCTAGATAACTTGACACCACTCTAATTGAAAACAAAATGGGACAAAAGAAGAAGAACAATAAAATAGTAATGACAATAACAACAACCACCAAACAACAAACAACAGAAACAGATACAGGAATTGGCTGGATGACCTTGCCCAAAGAGCTACTATCCATGGGGAATGTTCAAGTGGCAGTCAGTCACAAACAGTTTTGTGACCCTCAAGGGTCTGTACTGGGGCCAAAAGCATTTCTTCAACTTTCATCAGCGTGTCATTGATAGTGGGAGCAAGTGCACCCTCAGCAAGTTCACAGCTGACACGAAGCTGTGTGGCCATTGGTGTGTGTGAGGGAAGGGATGCCAGCCACAGGCACCTGGCCAGACTTAGGGAGCAGGCCCATGTGAACCCCCACCAATCCCACCTGCACTTCTGTGTCCAGCTCTGGAGGCCCCAGCCCAGGAAACACATGGCCATGACAGAGCAGGCCCACAGGAGGCCCACAAAAGCCAGTCACAGGGCCTCAGGGTATGCAGACAGGCTGAGAGAACAAATCCTCTGGAGAATGGAGAAGAGAAGCCTCGGGACAGGCCGGCCTGAGGCCTTCCCATACACAGCAGTGGGGGACTTTTAAGCAAAACAGAGATGTTTTACCAAGGCCTGCAGTGATAGGATGAAGAGGCCAGGTTTTAAACTGATTCAGGGTAGCTTCAGATTAGAGGAAGAAATTTGTTCTGGGGAGCGTGCTGAGAGAGTGGGACAGGTTTCCCAGAGAGGCTGTGGATGTCCCACCCCTGGGAGTGTTTAAGGCCTGGTTGCATGGGGCTTTGAGCAACCTGGTCTAGTGAGAGATGTCCCTGCCCATTTCAGGATGGGGATGGAACTATAATCTTTAAATGTTCTTTCTAACCTAAACAATTCTGTGATTCTAGAATTCTAAGATTCTAAGATTCCATGATCCATGATTTCTCAAGCCGGACTGCACAAAGCCTGTCAGAGCACCTGCAGAACCACCACACCTCTGAGAAGAGGTTTAACCTGCATCCACTGATCCTTGACCAGTGAGTGAGCCCAGCCTTCCAGGGCCACTCTGACTCACCTTGGCTGTCCACACCAGACCACTCACCAAAACTGCATAGACCAAGGCTTTGCCACAGAGGATGAGGTAAGTGAGCTTCAGGGAATTTCCATACCGCAAGTACGACTCTGCAAGTCAAACACCATTTGTATATTCAGTTTTCATCACCATCATTACAAGATGCCGGTTTGAATGGAGCTTTCATCAAATGACAACACTTGACATCTTTAGCTAAGCAAATTAAAAGAACTAGAGCCAAATGAGTGGCTCTGTTGACACCAGAGAAGCAGGGAAGGGACAGAACTCAAAGAACCAAAAGAGAAAGCAAGTCTAGGAAAGACAGAGATTGGCTTCATACTGGGAAAGTAACCAGTTACACACCTACTGATGAATGGGGCTGTTCATCTGAGTCCCCTATTTGGAACGCAAAATAGGCTGAATCAAAAGATATGAATGTTTTATTTTGTCTCTATCCTTGTGAATGCTGCTGATGAATCAGGGAAGTTTTACAAAGCCCAGAATAGCATGCCTTCTAGAAGATTTTTTCTTGAAGATTTTTCACTCTTAAGGAGTTGCCATAGTATTGAGACACAAGATCTATCTTGCTTCAGCCTTAAGATCCCTGAAGCATTAAAGAAGTTCTTGAAAATCAGGAGCGTGTGCAAATATGTATACAAAGAGGAAAGAAATGTAATTTGCAATATGGATGTCCTCCATACATGACAGCAGTGTGGAGTGGAATGTGACTTATCATGGGAATTGTTCTCAGTTTGATACTGAGAAATGGTCAGAGTATCATATACTGAACCTTGATATCAGAATCACTTGGATAAGTATGGATCATTTATTTCCTTGCTGGGCAGGAATATTGCCAATGGAAGTCAGTTTCTCGGACTGGAGGAGACGATAAAGAGTAAATTACAGTCTACAGGAAGGTACCATGATTTCTTCAGTTTTCAAAATGGAATCATGTGGGAGAGCTGAACCCCAAAGCTGAGCTACATACAATATGCACAAACAGCCCTCCAAAAAACTTTTTCTCTTTTTTTTTTTCTTTAAATATCACATACAAATCACTTACAGGAGAAAGAAGAAGCTTACATACAGCAGATATGTCCCCAACATTGTACTTAATGTCAGTAAAACTGGCATTAAAATACACCCTGATAATCGCCTGAGAGACGAGGCAAAATTCCCTTTATGTGAGAAGCCACACGTACCTTCTGTGAGTGCACAACCTGAAAGACAAAAATGAACTGAAAGTCATGTTTCTCTTCAGAGCAAACAGAATACAGATTTTAGAAGTTTCAGTTTATAAAACACTGCCTCATTCTTCCTACTACAACTAGGTGTTTTATGATTCTGTGCAATTTATTCTGCTACAGAGATTTCTCAGTGGGAAGCCTGAAGAAACACAAGAGATGTAGAATGGTAACACAGGGACAAAGGCCCAGTGTATGGGAAGAGACATACACTAATTCCTAGATATTTAGGAATGTATTTGTGCCAGAAGAACGCCTTGTATGGAAGCTATATATAGAAGTGGTACCTATCATAACACCTGCTCTTCAGATTTGTGATCTCTATCTTATACAGCATGGCAAGAGATGTTTTTTACTCACCAGCATCACCATGGATAAATTTGTTTACTGATACTGTTGTTCCATTCTGAAAAAAATTGGCAACACACTCAAAGCGATTCAGAGGGTTGAACCATTCCCAGGCTGGCATCCTCAGTCGGCTGGTCAGTGAGTAGGTGTTCCCATTCTGTGTGGAGGACTCATCTGTGCCCACCCCTTCGGTCCTTTTCACACCATTCACCCTCCACACCAGAGTCAGGTGGTCAGGGAAGAAACCAGAGGCCAGGCACACCAGCGTGGCCTTGCTCTTCTGCTGGATCTCCTGCTTTGATGGGGAAAAGATGGCCACAGCTGGAGGTATGATTTCATCATTCTTCCCTGAAACACAAAGCAACATGGTCCAGAGCCTCCATCCCTGTGTTTTGTCAGAACGCCCTGGAAATGGTCCTGAGTTTGTGTCGTGTTACTCCTGAAATACCTGGCCTTTTAACTGCTGTCTATTGGACAATTAGTGTACGTTGGCTATGGCACACCAGGAAAGTGGAAGGATTTCTTTTCACTCATCACACAGAAACATAAGTGGTCTGGCCACAGAAATGCACAAGCACATTAATTTCTTGTATTGCCTCTGTCAGTGGAATACAAAGCTGCGAAGAAATGGAGCAAAGAGATGGGCAGAAAAGTCCCCAGTTTTGCTGTAAGGCCTGTATTTGTAACACTGCATTATTAGATAAGGGCATCTCTTTTAACGCACAAACATCATCAGCAAAATGAGTTACATTCGTGGAGGAGGCGTTAAGACATGGTGGTCATTGCAGAGTTCAGAATTATACTGTCATGGGATACCCTACTTGGCCACCTATCTACGAGATGACCCAGAAGGAAAGAAACAAGGAAGGAGCTGATCCTTCTCACTGTCTGAAGTGAAAAACAATTGAGGCGGTAACATGAATCTGCCAGGGACAGGTTTTGCCTTGGGTCTTAATCAATCCATTTTTAAGAATACTCAACGTGACTTTATGTAATTTAAATTTTAGGTTATTGTAGGTATGAGAAGCTCTGATCCTGGGCTACATGCCTTCAGAGAATGATGCAAGATTCTATACACATGCAAATCAAATGTTGTTCCCTGTCCTAAAGTGTTTAATACCTACTTGTATGATTAATGAGAATAAGGATGTACAAGGCAGACATGAGAAGTTACTCACAAGCCAAGCAGTGACCCTAAAAGGCAGGGGGAGGGGGTTCCATATACTATATGAAAATGCCTTTTTGACTCATCTAGAATGAGAAACCCATGAATTCTGTAGAGTGCTGCTGGAAAAAGGAATGTAGGCAAAACTATGGAGCCTAAGAGAAAATTATTTCTCTGGGGTTGGCTTTTTTGTATGAAGGCACCATGAATTGTGAACGTTCTTCCTGGCCACTCTCTCCTTTGCAGAGGAAGAGAGGTAGCAGAATGAGTAGAAATCATTATCTTGCAGAGATCTTGTCTCCTAAGCCCTGGTGTTTGCATTCCAATGATGCCTTAATTGTGACCACCGGTGCTGACTCTGCCAGGATCCCTGGGCTGCTTCTGTATCAGCTTGTACAGACTTTAGATGTCCTGGATATTCAATAGAGATAACTCCCTGGAGGGTTTAGCACTGCTCTGCTTTCCTTTTAGTGGGTATGAAGAGAGGTTGATCTCTTCTACTTCTCCCTTCCAGCACTTGGCGTTATGATTTTATTTCCTATCCTAGAAGTATCTCTGACAAATTCTTCAGCTAATGCCTTTAATGGCTAATGAGTGAAGAGATGGAAACAGATAGGAGGACCAGAAAAAAAAGGGGGAAATTTAATAGGCTAAGGAAAGAAAGGAACAACAAAAAAGTGGAAGGTAGGTGAAAAAGAGAGGCAGAATGAAAGAATGATAAAACTACTGAAACTACTGGAAGGACAAAGAAAATCAGAAAGTTAGCATGCTTGAAATGGAATAAAGGGATTGGTCAAAGGAAGAATTAGAACAAAAAGGTCTGATCAGCAGCCCATTGTGTTCTGGTCTTCCATGCCTCTCATGGCTGACACTGACACAAAGCTCGATCACTTTCATGCATAAACTCATGCCCTGTCACACAGACTTCACCCACCTGAGAGAAGAAATATCTCAGTTCCTCCATTCCCACCATCGCAAGGGCAGTTTCATAATTTTTTGTTATCTTTCACTCCTACTCTCATTTTAAAACCATCTCTGTATATGCTACAGATCATGAACGCAAGGGCAATTTTCAAGTGTCCTCCACATGAGCACTCGGGTTAAAAACAGCTCCTTACCTATGACTCTGAGCACAGTGCCGACTCCAAAGTTAAGTTGCTGGTTTGCACAGCTATACAAAGTCAGGCTGTAACCCCCAGTGTCATTGTGCTCTTCCTGCCAGCCACATAGTTCCTTAAAATGGCACTGTTTAAAGGAGCAGGGACCAGTGAGGATTTGTACAATTTGCTATCAGATGGGAAGGTAGCAGATGGAAACAGTAACTTTGCCCTGTGATTCCGACATTTCCTGATATAGGTGATGTTAAATCCTTTGCTAGGATGGGAGAACATAGAGAAAGAAAACACGGAAAAAGAGAAATGATAGATGGAAAAAAGTATGCTAAGAGAAAAATAATACAGTCCATGCTGAGCAACAGAAGTTGTGAAAAGGATTGCTAGCAGAAGCCAGCATCCCAAAGCAACTTTAGACAGCCTGCAAACCATCTATGGAAGGCAACCAAAGTGCCAGCAAGATTACTCTTTGCCTCCATGGTTCAGCACACAGGAGAATCCAGACTCTACCTCCAAAATGCTGCTTTGGATCATTACACAGATAAAATGTAAAAACCTGTAGAGAAGTATTTTTTCATTCCCAACCTCAATAATATTTCCTTGGAAGATGGGTGAAAATAAAATTATTTTTTGCCTTCTCCCTTCATGAAGTCCCCAGAAATGAAAGACAGAGGCTGCAGACAGAAGGACCTCAACATTTGTGCCTGTAAATCCTACACTTCCATAATGGCACATGTCATTTTAATAAGCAAGCAATAAAGCATTAATCCTGTTCTTATGGTTGCATGAAAAATTATCATTAGTAAGCTTTTAATTAAGAATGCTCTTGTCCCCTAACCAGTATCACATAGATCACACAGATCTGTCTTCTTACTTACCTATCACCGTAAGTTTTGTCCCACTGCCGAAGTACAGTCTATTATTATTCACACCATTTTGCAGCTGCAGAAAAACCTCTCCTCTACTCCCAGATCTCTGAGCCAAGCCTGTGGACTAACCCTGCCCTCATGTGGCACCAGCAAAAGAAGAAGTACAGAGTACATTTGTCTCAGGTCTCCTAGAAAACAGGTCTGTAAGGGAACACCACCAAATCTGTGTGTCTAAACAGCTAAGATCAACATCAGAAATGCCCTGACCTTTTGCTTGAGGCTCAGTCAGATGTTGGAGGCTCCAACATTTCATTAGAGGACATTTATCTATTATTGTAGGTGTCATATTAGAATACAGCTCTTCACTGACTTGTCCTTAATCATCTCTAGCCCCAGCTGAACTGGCTTTATAGAGAGTAGCTATAGTTTTGGGGAATTTTTGCATGTGTTTATTCATTAGGACAACCTTTTTTTATGTCATGCACACATTATTTGTCCCACTCCTTATCATCATTCTCCCTAGGAACTGCTATTTCATTACTGAAAACTCATTCTTTCCATTCTCCAACATGTGTCCTTACCTAGAAAACCTAACTTAGTCTATTCTCTGAAGTAGACAGGGTTAGTAACACACACCAGTTTAATAATGATAGGGAGGTTAAGGATTGTGTTCTCTAAAGAGAAGACATGGCATTTGAAGTGAGTTAAAAGAGGAAACAAAAATTTCTTACCTATAACTGTGAGTTTTGTGCCACTGCCAAAACGCATATCATCATTAGTCACAGTGACAAAGTGATGTATCATAAGCTAAGAGAAGGGATGCAGTGCACCTGCCTCACTATAAGCTCAGGCTTTAGAAACCATTTCTTGTTTTGGAATCCCAAACATCATTAATTCTCTATTTGACGTGGTTCACCTTTGGCAGGGAACTAAAACAAATCTCTTTGTTTCCCCTTCCATGGCAGGCCAGTTGTCTTGAATAGACTTTTAGGATCCCATTCAGTTTTCTGATAGGTTAAAATAATCCACACAAGGAGAGCCCAGAAGAATCTCTTGACTGGTCCCAGACAAACCCTCCATAGCCATTAGGAAAACTGCATTGAGACAGCGGGGATAGGGATTACAGGCAACCTTTGTTCTCACAGGCATGAGGCAGTCAGCAGATATTGCAGGATTATTTAAGAGAGAAAAGCCCAAGTCATTTTATATAGTGCCTCTGAGAGATACCTGCTACATGTCAGAATTCTTTTCCTAACACTTGTATCACTTTAAGAAAGAGCCATTTTGTCATCTATTGCAAACACTGGTGAATCTGGAAACAATAGCAATTCCAGCTTTGCATGGTTGATTTGCTTTAGGTGCATCTGCAGTCACAGTCTGGATTGGTAAAATTTAATTTCAATACCTCAGAATTTCCTAGCTTGCTTGCCAGGGAGGGCAGGCTCAGTTCTCAGATGATGAAAGTAAGTCCCAGCATACAAGGTCTGTTAAGACAAACCAAGGCTGGGCACACTTGCTCTGCTGCAGGACCCTGTGCAGCTGCCTTACCACGCTCTGCCTCAAGATTCATGCAGCCATGGGTTTTTGTAAAGGCTTCCTGGGGAATGTATCATCGTGGTCCCCCCCCCAACTGTGCCACAATGATACAACCCGGTGCAAAAACAATCCCACCCATGACTCCACCCCCTGTTTTTGTCAAACAGGAATAACTCTCATGATTACCTGTGCTGATTTGGATTGTGGTACTGTTGAGCTGTGGTTCAAGTTAATTTCCTTGAAAGAGGCTGCTGCCTCCTGGGGTGTTTGGACAAGACAGACATGCCCTTGTTATGACTGAGCAGTGCTTACATAGCATTCAAGGGCTTTTCTGTTTCTCATACCACCATGTTGGCAAGGAGGCTGGTGGTGCATGGGAAATTGGGAGGAGGGACAGCAGGGAGAGCTGATCACAACTGATCCAAGGGATATTCCATATCTCATGGTGCCATGTTCAGTATGTGAAAGGGGCAAGTGGGGGGAAGAAGAAGGAAGAGATAGATATTTGGAGTGATGGTGTTTGTCTTCCCAAGCACTGTTATGTGGGATGGAGCCCTGCCATCCTGGGAATGGCTGAATATCGGCCTGTCCATGGGAAGTGGGGAATAAATTTCTTGTTACCATTTGCTCGTGTGTTGCGATTGTGAGGGTCCCAGGACGAGGGAAGAGATGAATCTGACTCCATGTTCAGAAGGCTGATATATTTTATTATGATACTATATTGTATTAAAGGAAAATCATATACTAAAACTATACTAGAGAAATAGAGAAAAGAATACATCAAAAGGCTATACAAGAATGCATAATAAAAACTCGTGACTGACCAGAGAGTCCAACACAGCTGGACTAGGATTGGTCATTAAGTAAAAACTATTCACATGCTGGGATAAACAATTCTCCAAATCCCATTCCAAAGTAGCAAAACAGGGAGAAGCTGAAACTTCCCAGCTTCCCAGGAGAAGAAATCCTGGCAAAGGGATTTTTCATAAAATATCATGGTGACACGTGTGCACAGTTTTTGCTTTACCTCTTAAACTGTCTTTATCTCAAGCCACGAGCTTTTCCGATTCTCTCCCCAGTCCTGCTGGTGGGGAGTGAGCCACCAGCTGTGTGGGGCTTGATTCTGGCTGGGGCTAAACCATGGCAGAACCACAGACCACATCCTTCCTTCGCCAATGCTGTTTCTATGTGATAGTCCAATTACCTCTCAGTGTATCCATTATCCCTCAATTTATAATCTCAAGATCTTTTGCTTGTACTCAAAAGGGTAACACTTCTTATTCTTTTATTGGTTGGCTTTAAATGCAGTAATTTTTCACTTGGTAGTGTCATGGCAGTATTCATGCTGCTTTCCTTTCTACTCTTTCTCTCTTCTGCCCTCAGCATGATAAAAACTTCAAGCTCACAGTTTTCAAGTTTTGGTTTGCAATGAGAGTAATTTGCTTACTATGGGCTGGTGTTTGTCTCAGTAGCCTGGTGTTGCTTGAGAGCATCCTCCCAGGGCTTGTGACTCTGCCTATGAAAAGGCTTCATCTAGGGGTAAGAGCAAGCCTTCATTTTGCAGACTGTCTGAAGGGACGGGAACTGATGGGGAGAGGTAACAGGCTACCTTCATCTCCCTCCTCTATATGTAAGTGGCACCAGTCTTTTCTCACAAAGTGTCAAGACATAGTTAGCAACCTAACCTAAACATGTTTTTCATATTGCTCTTTAACAGCTTCCCTTGCATCTTTCTTTATATGAAAAACAGACTACAAAACACAGAACAAAATGCTTCAAAACAAAAGCCATTCTCCTAGGAAAATCACAAAATATTTTTTCCATTATTTTCAGGTATCCCAGATTTTCTGCATCCAAATTTACATTATCATTCCTCTACCTTAGACTGCATTATTCGTACATCTTTGCAGAAAACATTTACACATAATATGCATATGACTCCATTCTTCATTTAGTCCTGTGTGAGCTTCCACTGAACTACCAAAGATTAACTTGTGGTGTGAGGTAAAAATGAGATGCAAAGCAGATGAAAGATCTCCAGAAAGACTCACTGCATTTACTAATCCCTTGGCTTTATAGTTTATGGAGCACAGAAAAGTCCCCACAAACACAGTTTTACTGAAACACACTCTAGCTGCCTTTGATCCCCCTCCACTACAGGTTAGATTCTCTTTCCTCTCTCTCAATTGTATCCTTTTCTCGTTATCTCTGAGTTGTGTCTTTATTTTCATCCTTGGTTTGCTTTTCATAGTCTTTATTGTTTGGTTTTCTTACTCTTCATAATTTTCCTTTTTGCCCTTTCCTTTGAAAGGTCAGCACAATTGAATCATATTTCATCCATTGTCCAGTGCACCTCGCACTCTCTCCTTCTTTTTGCCTAAAATCCTCCCCTTCACTCTCACTAGCTGGTTGTCTTGAAAACTGTAAGAGACACAGTGTAATTGTAGGGAAGTGGACTTACGTAAATATCACCCTGAAGACAGCACTTTTTCCAAAGTGGTCTCCTGTATGGCTAGAAGGAGTGACAACAAATGGGTGCAGAGCAGAATTCTGCTTCTCTCCTTGGACTTAAGCATCAACCTCATCACAAACATCTGCTGTAGAAAACACTCTTGAAGAAGATCTTGAAGGACAAAAACTTTCCTTTAATGATACTTCAATTCAAAAAGCAAAAAATAAACAGGAGATATTATATGAACCCAGACATGTATCAGTCTCCCTTTTAAAGTGCTCTCTTTGCACAGTTACCAGTAAAACCTTTATTCCTAAATCAAGGAGATGAATTCTTAGCCTCTGTGCATTAAGGAGGTGCTACTTTTAAAGTACATTATGTTACAACAAAATATGATACATTATTATATGGAAGTACAGGGAAAGCTCAGCAGTGATTACAAAACAGTGAAGAACAGGATGCAAGAGATGATTCAAAAAATTTATATTCAGAATTTGGTAGAAGCACAGATTTTTTTGCAATGG